ATATAACTTGAATCAAATCAAATTGAAAGATTTTATAAAATAAATTTAACTTGACTTAACTCGAAAAAGAGTCAAATAAAGTTGATTTTTAAACTCAACTTGACTTGACTCATTCAGAACTCTATATATTCTATATCTTTATATATTTAAACTTTTTTTGAATTAAAGTGAAAAAAAACAAAACAAATGAAGTAAAAGTATTACTTATATCATACATACTTCAATATTATAATAAATTTTGGCAGATACCTAAAGTTGCTTGATTTATTTATCTTTAATTATGCAAATTATTTTTTTAAGTAAATTGTCTAAAATTTTTTTTAATTGATAATTAATATAGCTAGTATTTATTTTATCAATTATTTTTATTTAAGGAATGATTATCAAATCTTTAAGAAGACTTACTGCTGTATAAAGATTGTAGAAATATACTTATAACTTTTAACTTCATTATTATCTACAACTACTATCTACAATTAGTCTCATATTTTTTATCTTATGAAGAATATTATCAATGCAGAGTTTAAATTCTAAAGTATTAGACTAATAACTAGTTTAAACTATGAAATATAAGTAATATTTTCATTCAAGATTTTATATTATAATATTTTTACAATATTTTTTTCAAATCTGCTTTAATCTTGTATGATGAGAATTTAATTTTTATCCTTATACTCCTTAGTGAAGTTTGCAAGATTTTTTGCAAATCTAAATTTTAAACCTAAATCTTAAAACTTTTTATTACTTATTTTGAAGAAGACATAACTATTAATCTCTTACATTTTTACAATTTCAAAAACCTTCTTATTAAGTCCTAAGTTTTTATTCTCATGTAAGAAATCTATAAACTTAGTTGTGTCATATTTTTTAATAATGTTTACTAGTAAAACTACTTTAATTTTAGCAATAAAGATAGAAGTAAAACTAGAATATAAGTTTAAGATATAGCATTTTTTATAGTAATATTTAGCTTAGATAAAAAAATAATGTTATGTTTCAGAATGAAATAAAATTTTATTTTTGTTCAGAATAAAGAAGTATTATATTAATATAAATTTTATATTATATAGGTATTATATTATTATATGTAATCTGTTTTCTCATATACATTCAATAATAATACTTTATTTATAAAATAAAAATATTGTCAAAATAATAAATATAAAAATAATAATATAATCAAAACTGGTTATAATAAACCTTTTTATACTGAACACTAAATATAATAAACTCATAATTTTTAAATTTTAATAATAGTTCATTATAAAAAATATAATGGTTCATATAGAAAGCATAGTAATTTATATAACAAACTTTTTTTTTAACGGAACTGTCAGTTTGCTATAAAGAGTATTGATTGTATATATAATTATAATCATATTATATTTTATTATTAGAATATTAAATATCTAAATATACTATTAAAGTTGCTTATCTAAACTCATTTTAGATTTTGCAAAATATCTAAATCATAGTTTCGCTAAATTTTACTAAGGTTTTGATATAGTTTTGCATTTTTATAAGCTTTAATATAGTTTTACTTTTTCAGATTTTTAATAAGGTTTAATATAATTTCGCTAAATTTTACCCTTTTCTATTTAAAAACCTCTAAATCTGCTTCTTATAATTTAGTTGTAGCAGTAAAAATTTTTAAAAGTTAAGCAGACTGGTTTTTATTGTAATGACACTTTTATAGTATAATGGTAACAAATTCTAATAATCTAATATTATATTCAAAGAAAAAGGAAACTATTTTTTGTATAAATTAAACTATTTAATATCAATTTTACTAAGGTTGATATAAGACTTAGCAGATTTTTCTAGCTTTTGAATAAATTTGATATACTTGTATATAATTTTTAAAATACAAAATTTTAGGTTACATGAATAGTATGTTATATATTTATAAAGAATTATCTTTATCATAGCTTTTTAAAAAAATTTCAGAAAAAATTAAGATTATAAATATTATTAAGATTAATAGAATTCATTAAATCTAATTTTAAATATTTGTATTTATGATCTACTGAGGCTCCAAAAGAACTTCATTAGTTGACATTTCTTGATATTAAAAAATCAGTTTTTTACTACATATTGTCTAAATTTTAGTTTTGTTAATTTTTTACTAAAGTTTTAATATAGTTTTATTATTTTTATAAGTTTTGATATAGATTAACTTTTTCTAAGTTTTGTAAATTTATCAATAAGATTTTAATATAATTTTACCTTTTATTATTTAGACAATTTACAAACCCTTTAGATTTTATTTAGCAACTTTAGATATAAGTTTAATATTTATTTTATATACTATAATTTTTTATTAATTCATAAAAAAATAAATTTTAAAAAAATATAAGATAAAAAAATTTTAATAATAAAATTTAAATATTAATATGGCTATTACTTATAAATCACACTAATATTGTGTAATTCTAAAATTTATAGGTAGTGAATAAGGTAATAAAACATAAATTCAAACTGATAAAATGATAAAGTAGAACAAGCTGAATATTTTTATCAATTTAGTTTTATAAAATATTATATAAAATTTTGATTTATTTTGATTTAAAATTAGATAATTTCTTATATGATCTATATGCTAATAGACAAATTTCAGATTGAAAATTGAGCAATTTATATATGAAATTTAGACAATATTTTTATTTGATAAATATAATTTTATGTGATAAACATATTTTCATGTGATAAAGATATTTCATATGATAATTGTAATTTATTTTTCTTATATGCTTAATTATAACCTGTTCATTAAAAAAATTAATATAAAAGAATAAGAACAAAAAAATAATGAAAAGTTTGTAAAAATATAAATCATTAATGATTAGGAAGATGATAAAGATAGTGGTTAGAATGATTATGATAATAGTTAGAATAATCACAATAATAGGCTAGTTCAAATCTGATCAATTAGTATTTTGATTACAAATTCTAACAACCAATCTGAATTTATGATCAAAATTCATAATTGAGTAGGATTAAATATAAAAAATAAAATAAATAAAAAAAAAACAAAAAACAAAAAACAAAAAACAAAAAAAATAAAAATAAAAATAAAAATAAAAATATATACAAATGTCTGAACATAAAAAAGTAAAAAATCCACTATCTTTTATACTATTAAAGTTTTTTAAGTCAATTTTGGCACATTATTTTTTTTACAATCAAATAAATCATCTTTTTGATTAATTATAAAGATTAGTTTTTTGGTCATACACAAGTTAAATTTTATTGGCTAAAATATCGTGTAACCTAATCTGAAATGCTAATTGATCAAGTATGAACTAGTCTAATAATTAGAATAACTACAATGATGATTTAGATGATAGTTTGTCAAATAAAAAAAAGTTAGAGTTGAGTTAGTTTGGTCAAATAATGCATATTTTAGAAAAAAAGCATAAATCTTACCTTACTGAAAAAACTAAAAAATCAATTTATTTTGATAAATATAGGCCAAGTGGCTCTTTTATGAAAGCTGCAAAAGAAACTGAAAAAATAACACTATTTTTAAATAAAAGCTTGTTTCTAAATGACTTTGATGAGATTTTAGATAAATCAGAAAATGAACAAGACAAATAATTTAATTTAAATAAAAGAATAGAATAATTAAAAAAAGAACTTAAAAAACAGTAATAATTATTAACAGTAACTGAATATAATAAAAAAAGAGCTATTTTTAAGTATTTGAATAGATTAAATAATAATGAAAAGAGGAAGCAAAAAACTAGTATAGAAACAATACAGGTGGTTTTTATTGAAAATGCATTATATAGAGCAAGAACTATCTTATATTAAGTAAATTATTAGCTTCAATATAACTAGCTTCAATAAGCCACTAAGGTAAACATCAAAAATAGTATAGTTGATTGATAATGGAAAAATACAATATATAGATTTAATTTCAAAGTGAAATAACTATTCCGCTAAAGTTCAAGGAGTTTATTAAATAAAATTTGCTTATTGATTCAGAAAAAATAAGAAAAAAATTATAATATAGCAACTATTACATGTTAGCTCAATGTGTTCAGATATTTTTTCAGACACAAAATAAGATAAAGATAAATTAATATTAAATAATAATAAAAAATTTGTTAAACTAATTAATTAACTTACATTTATTTTAAAATAGGTATATATTATGATAATTATGAACATTTTGATGTAAAATATCGATAAAGTTTTTGGATAAGATTTATAGTTATGAAAAAAACATAGTAAAATATGAAAGTGAAAATATAGAACAGATCTCATCAACATTAGGATTGATGAAAGGAAATAATTTTAGTAATGCATGATAAATGCATATTCTACTCAATGATAGAAAATGAGATGTATGAACAAAATCTAGTAAATTATTATTATGTAAGAAGAGAAATGAATGCTCTATTATGGTTAGAGATGAGGATGACTCTATCAGTTCCGTTCTAATTTTGCGAGTCAAAGTAAGTCAAACTGATCAAGCGGTTTTAGATAACCAGTTCTGAGTGGCACTCAAAATCAAACTGACCGAGTCGACTCTGATAAATTTAAATTAATTTAAATAAATTAAAATAAATTAACAAATATAAAATTAAAAATTTAAAGTTATATAAAATAGATCAAGATCATTATTCAAATTATTGTTTAGGTAATTAATTAATATAAGATTGGTACAATTTTAATTATAGAATTGAATAAAGCATATTTGGTTCAGGTTATTAAATATATCGCATTAGCAAAAATGTTATGTTTTACAAAAAATAATATATATTAAAAATGCTTGTATTAATATAATTGCCAAAAATTTTTATTTATTCATTATTATTATATTTCATTACAACTGCTTTACTAATTTACTAAATTTTTATCTATCCAATTCTTTACACACAAACAAACTCTTAATGTTTCTGGTAGTAAACGATTTCGATTTTTTGTAATCACATTTCCTGCAATTGAAAATACTTGCTTTGACCTGATCTTGTAGCTTGTATTGTTAGATAATCTCAAGCCATATTACTCAAAACCAAAAATTTATTTGAATAAGCTTGCCACCATAAGAGAGGTTCAGTTTCTTCATCAATTGGTAGTTCAAGATAATGATTTAATTCTGTTTCTGTCTCTAATACTGGAGTAGAAATTTCATTTATAGGTGCTATATCTTGTCAAAGTCGTGTAAAATATTGGCGATTCTTTTTAATAGGGGTAGATGGAACTAAATTTGTAGATAAGTAAAATTATTCTTTATAGAGTTCAAATATAGATTGAATTTGAGTACGAGTACTTGGTTTTGATTCCTCTGAAAAAACAGAAAGTTTACTTCAGGTATTTAAAATTGCTGAGATTGTTGAAGAATTATCTATAATTAACCAATATTTTTAATTTTATTAGATATTAAAACTGCTACTTCACATGTTGTAAAATTATTTTCATTTGCATATTTTTCTAGATGTGTCTGAATTTCTGTAAATACAATATGGGTATCACCCATTGTTGGATAAGATGATGCTAATAAATATCTAGTAGCCCTTTCTAAAGGTTCAAGAAGTAACAACATATCCTATTAAAAAATAATTCATTAGAATAAAATCTATAAATATAAAAGAATATTATTTTTTTAGTTTAATTTATCTTAATTGAATTCCAATTATCATTATTAGGATAAAGATTATTAATAAAAGGATTGTCAGCTACAAATAAGATTAAAACTGATTCAAGTTCTTTAAATCTTTTTAACATATAATATATCGAGTTCCAACATATATCTATATCCAAAATTGGTTTAAAATATTTAATTTTTTTTAAACTACAAAAATCATGAAGTGAATCACAAAGACGTGTAGAATTTTTAATATTACACATTATTTAATATACTTTTGTAATAGAATTACTAACTATTTTTAATCCTTTTTTCACTCCTAAATTTAATACATGTGCTGCATAATGATAATGTGAGAAATTTATTGAAGAAAATTTATTATCAAAAGCTGAGGAAATTTTTTTTTCACAAACTATCATTGCAGAATCATTATCAGTTGTAAGTGTGATAATTCTTTTAGAAATATTGAATTCTTCTAAGACATGCATAATTTCTTGTGCAATATTCATTCCAGAATGTTTAATGGTAAATAAAATTATATCAAGTAAAAAATTACAAAGATTCTAATTAGAGTCAACATAGTGAATTGTAAGTCTTAAAAAAGCTTCCCAATTTATTGTAAAAGTCTAAATATTAGCTGTTAATGAGAATTTTCCTGTAATTTGATGAAGTTTGTTAGTAATATTATTCCTTTGCATAGTAAAAGTATTAATTATCAAACCTATTTAAACAAAAGAAAGTTAAATAATATTATAATATAATAAAAAATTATGAAATCAATCTTACATTTTGCTTTATATCGATCAGGAATAACATAATGCGAATAAAAAAATTTAATAAAACTTCTAAAAGAAGTATTGTCAATAACAGTGAAAGGCTAAAGATCGCATATAAGCCATTGAATAAGATATTTGTCATGTTCATTTTGTTCTTGCCTATTATAAGGAGTTGTAATATTATTTTTAATTTTTTGTATTTTTGTAGGTGCTTGAAGTTGATGTATTTGAAGATGTTTTCATAAAGAAGATACACTTGTTGATATTTGATATTTTTTTGAACATATTTTACAAACATTATAACCAAATGCATTAGCTAGATTCTTATTAAAATACAATCACACATTATTACTTCCTAATGAAATGTTTGTCTCTGAATCTGAAGCCTGACTAGTCTTTGAAATATTACTAGCTGATTCATCAGAATTAATTTCGTTAAGGTTAATTACCCACTCATCTTCATTATTCTCAAGTTAGTTAGGATTGAATTCATCACTACTTAATGTCCTTTCAGAAGAGGCTTCTTCTTTTTATTCTTCTATTTCAACAAAAAGAAGTGTGAGAATTATTAAGATTTTTTTTCGATAATTATTATTTTAAAAAAAAATTAACGTTACAAAATTATTATTTTAGCAATTGCCATTACAAAATTACTATTTTAAAAATAAACTGATACAAATATTATTATTACAAAAATTAGTGTTATAAAATTACTGTTACAAAAATTGCCATTACAAAAATTGCCGTTATTAATCAAAATTACTGTATCACAAAAATTACAAGTTGTAAATTTATTTTTTTATTTTTATCTTATTTTATTTTTATCTTAAAATAACTAAATACTAATATTATAAATTTAAATAGAACTGACTCAAGAGAGGCAGTTCTCTTAGAATTGATTGTTCTACTTTAAATTCTCAGTTCAACTCAAAAGCAGAACTGACGTTCAGTTCTAGAACTGACTCTGAGTCGCTCCATTTAGAACTTTCCATCCCTAATTATGGTTAGTGAATTTTTTATAGAAGAATGTGATTGACTTAAATTGAATTCACAGCAATGCCAAGAAAATTCTTTCATATCTAAGAAGCTCAGGTGTATTTTTAATCAGGAAAAGATTAGGATAAATACTGGATAAGTAAGCATTTAGTTGAACAAGTAAAAATGAAGGGTATATAAATTTTTAAAATAATTTTTTCAAACTATATTACCTTATTTATATTTAATAAAAGTTCAAATCACGTGATATATAAGTTTAATATACTTGCGATAAGTAGAATGATCTAAAACCTGAAAGCAAATAACCAAAAATGATAGATACATTTTTTGAATAAAATAATCAGTATCAATCAATAGTTAATAAAAATAATAAATTAAAAGAAATGAAACAGATATGAATTGTAAAAAAATGGGTTAAATGCTGATTATTGGTCATATAAGAATAAAATATATGACATAAATCAAATAGATTATTATGTAAGAAGAATTATTTCATTATAATAGGATTTTTTAAGTGTCCTAGAAGAAGTAATATTGAAAGCTAGGCATAAGTATATCTTTTACCCAAAGTTTTATTGTGAATTGAATTATATTAAATGATATTAGAAGGTGATAAAAAGATATACTCAATATAATTGTGACTATTTTTGGCAAAGCTTGCAACAGTTTATTTTTGTAGTCTTGAAATCTGTTAATATAATTATAATTAAAGATTTGCTAGAAAGGTTTAGCATTACATGGATTTATATAGAAAAGGATCACTGGTAAGTTGGCAGAATATGCTACTAAAAAGTATAAATCTCATCAATGTATTCCTGAATTGTATTGATAGAATTAAATAAAATGAAATAATAAAAAATTATCTATATACTATATAATTTTGTGATATAAAAAATACAAAGTTACGTATATAATGTGAAAGTTACATGAAATTATCATCCAAAATTTCAGACTAGTGCAGTTTATAGGTAATAACCACCATATAAAAATATAATAATTGATTTATAAAAATAAATTTGATGATTTAATAATTTATTAATTATTAAAAATTCAAATTAAGATATATTTTTTATTAAAAAATAATTTCAATAGAAAATTTATTATTGATTTATAAAATTATATTAATAATATTTTAATAATATTATAAAAATCTATTATATAAAATTATTATATTAAAAATATATAAATTAAATCTTTTTTATATTTTTTTTTATTTACAATCAAAATTTTTTAAATGCATTCTCTTTAAATATATATACTATAAATTTTCTTTTTAAATATATATTTTTAACTTTAAACTATATTGAAATTATATAAAAATTTTCTTTTTAAATACATATTTTCTTTAAATGTATATTTTTATTATAATCTAAAATGTATATTTAATTACATTTTTATTTAAATTAATAAAAAGATTATAGTATATAAAAGTAAGATAATTATATCTACAGTTAACTCTTGTTATAACGAACTCTATATCCTAGATCTCAACTTCACTATAAGGCTATAGTAAATATTTTTTAAGAGATTTGATTGGTCAATTTGCTATAATAAGAGTATTTTTATTATATTTGTTCAAAAAATTCATTATATTAAGAGTTTGCTATATCAAGAATTGACTATATTTATAAAATAATAAAAATTTGAAATAATTCTAATTACAAACTATTGATTTTTATATTTTTTGTAATTTTAATTATATTTATTTTATTAAAAAATAATTAAAAATATTTTATTATATTTTTAAAAAGTTAATATAAAAGTTTAAAATAATAAGTTTAATAAAGAGTTTATTATTATTTAGATAAATTTATTAAAATATATAAGTTTTATCTTATTAATAATAATAATAAAATTATTAATAATAATAAAAAATTATAATAAAATAGCAAATAATAAAGATAAATTAAATAATAAAATTAAAAGTAAAAAATTTTTAAAATTATAAAAATAATAAATCTATTAATTATTACTTAATTAATCAATTAAATTAATATCAACTAGTTTAATTACTTTATAGATTAAATATTTAATAATTGTTAAATAATATTATATACTATATATATAATATAAAATATGCTTTTTAAAATTTTTTTTTATTATAATAATTATAATATTAAAATATAATATAAAAGATAATTTAAAGTAAAAGTTATCTTTTTATATTAAAATCTATCTTAATTTTATCTTATTATCAATTGTTAAAATTATGATATTTTACAAACAGTAAAATTTTTAATTATTTAAAATGAACCAATGATTTTAATAATTACGATTAATATTCTTTAATAAATTCAGATATTAATTACTAAAGTATAAATATAAAACAAGATGTTATTATCTTTCTCATTTAGAGATAAAATGCTTTTAATTGAATCATCTCCTTCGTACAAAAAAAATACCCCTTCCTTAATACTATTTAAAGTTAGTGCTTGAATACGACCAGATGTAATCAGTGCTTGTATGGAAAAGGATAGTTTGAGTACATACATCAAGTTTACCACATTAATTTATTATCAATTAGTATCTCATATATCTAAAAATAAAATAATAATTAATAATCCATTTTTTTTTAATCAAACATTGGGGGAATGCACTTCCGTAAAGTTTCACATGTACATCATGTTAGAATCTTAAAAAATATATATATATATATTATTACCCTTCCGTTCTCTTAAATGCATATTATATATTATTTCTTTTTCATCTAATAACTTCTTGTAATCAAAGAAAATAATTTTTGTAGTATTGCATATCTGATTAATTATGCATTTGGAAATTTTGAAACATTTTATAATTTATATTTTATAACTAACCAAATAATTCTATATGCATGAATTTATTTCCATATTCAAGAGTATAGTCAACTCTTTTCCTTATATAATTTCGATACAAATAAAAAAATGTAACACGAATCGGGTTCAAACCAACTAAATTTATACATTTGAGTATGATAATCATACCATATGCAATATACCAACCTAATTATTTACAACGGGATGGTAAGCATCACAATCAAAATTGACGTGTTCGTTCCATTGCATTTGTACCATGCACTTACTACTGTTGCTATAACAAAGAAGGGAAAATATGGTAATCACATAATTCAATGAGATCATTATCGAAACAATATGTCTATCTTTGCGAAAATAATACAACTTAAAGGGGGGATATACTATTGATTTAGAAGTTCAAAGCCACAAAAAAAATTATGCTATAAATCGAATCGAAGGGAAAAAAAAAAAAATAATAATACCCCGATATCTCGATTAAATCGACACCTGATCAAGAGGAGCGGGAGTATTTTATTTTTGGGAAATTATAATTTTAATAAAAATCATATTGATAGAAATATCTTAACTTTTGCGTTCAAACTTACTAGAAGCCGAAAGTGATACGCGTTTTTTAAAGTATTGAACGATATAAAAAAAAAAAAAAAACTTGGGAATAAATTTCTCGTTTACATTGTTCCTACAATTTAGTACAATAAACGTTTTCTATAGTGAACAACTTTGTAAACCAACTGTACCTCATACTTAATAAAATGACACTTTCAAGAAAGTAACCTCTCTTTTTGGGGGAAAAGTTTATGATAAAGTCATTTCTGCATCTTTTTTGAAATTGGGGAAAATATTTAAAAGCGGAATGAACGTTTAATTATGTAAAAATATGGAAAATTGAACAAAGATAAAAACTCATCTCAAATAATAATAAAAGATTTCCGGGAATTCAAATAGCGCTGCAATCGTTGATCGCATCAAAAAGTTTTAAATGCATTTGAGATTCCGTAAGTCGCCGAAACTTTTGTTTAATTATTTTCTCAAATCTATTTTCTCAGTAATAACTAACACTACTCCAATTAACATGTTCCATGATATTAACCCCATCTATTTGCTCATCCATGAATATTCCCAACCAAACCATAATATTTTTTAATCAATTATTATTATTAAATATATAAACATATTTTTCACAAAAATTTTTTTTTTTTTTTTAAAGGGATATGTATTATTGTTTAAAGATCACAAAAGATTATATAAAGTGTCACATCATAAAATAATAAAAAAAAGATAAGGTAAAAAATAATACTAATTGGTTGATAAGATATCAAGTAATAAGATTGAAAGACGAATAGGTATCAATTAAAAAAAAAATCTATATATACAAAAGAATATAAAATTCCAAGTTAATAAAACAACCAAACATAATAATGTCGAAAAAAAAAAATCCTTTTTTTTAAAAAAAATAAGGATTGTGACACTACAATAATACGCATATAAGTCTATCTATATGTATGCTTTTAATAAATAAGTACATGCACAAAATAAGCCAAAGTTAATAAATATTATACAAAAAAAATAGAAAAGGGACACGTTTTAGCTTGCTTAAATTTTTTTTTTTTTTTTTTTCTTTTTTTTGATCTCTCTCTCTCTCATTTTTTTTTTTTTGTTTTTAATTTAGTTTTTTTTTTTAATATCTCATATCTCTACTCATAAGACTGTGATCCAGCAAGAACATATCCAAATCCTGCCAGCCTCCGCCAACTCGAACCATGACTTTGCTACTTGAAGCATATTTCATTAAACGACAAAGGTAAATCTTCCTATCACGGCCTGCTCCTTCATTTCCAAAATAATACTTATCACCTCCAGCACGTTCTACCTTAACCGATAATGGTGATGCATTTACTACCTTAGCGACTTCAACGTCAAGAGGATCGCTTCTGAGTGGTATATATGGAGAATGATCCATTGACATCTTTGATAACGTTTGAGTTAATGGAGTCATTGAACGATCGTCGGCTTCAGGAGTTAAAGGCCTTGATAGACTACTTGTAACTGAAGAAGGAGTTGGTGATCTTAACTGTTGACGTTTCAGAGGTGGAGATACCATACCTAAACGAGATAATGAGGAGGTCATGCCTGGTTGAGGGGTACTTGGTTGGGGAAGAAAAGATCTCATTCCTGCTCGTGAATTCGACCTAGAAGCTAATCCCATGCTAGTAACAGGACGTGGAATAGCTGACGGGTGCATACGATCACCAGGTGTCATTGGTCTGCCTGTTGGAGAATGCACAGGAGACTCGGATCTTGTGGAAGATTTTGATCGACCATTTCCCGGTTGAGGAGATAATGTAAGTTCACGATAATAAGGATTACCATGATTATTGTATGAAGGCCCATAAGGTGAATTATAAGGTGAATGATTATATTGTGAATTCCAAGGAAGACGATCAGACAGTGGTGGAGGACTTACGGATCTACGACCATTTGGGGTTAAATAAGAACGACCCCCACCTCCTAACGGACTCAAAGCCCGTGGTGAAGGAGATTTTGAACGTGAAGAAGGGGATCTCGCATTATTCCTTGATGGAGACATGTCTGTTGGAGAGATGACCATTCGATATGGTGATAAAGCTCTTTGAACTTTTGGAGGTGAACCAGGTTCAGGTGTGTACTTTCCTCTAGATGGTCTCATATTAGGAGACATTGGAGGCGATGAAGCGATTGATGAAGGTATTGATGAAGGTATTGATGAAGGGGGAGAGTTACTTGGAAAAAGAGATGCGTCTAATACGGCTTCTAATTCCGGCATTTCCCTTTGAACTTCGGCAACGCCATCAAGAATAACATTCCAATGTTCTTTCATCGCTTTATAATTCTTAATAGCTTCCCAATCTTTTGTCATCTGATTATTAATTCCGTTGGCAAGCATCGTAAGCATTTTGGTCACGGCCGGAACGTAATATTTCCTTTTAGCATCAAAGTTCTTATAAAGTTTTTGAAAATCTTTGGAAGTTATAGATACCGATTGTTGTGATTGTGGTTGTTGTTGATATTGTGAGGATCTTTGGTTATGTCTTGAAGAGGGTGTTATTGACATTCCTCTGTTCTGTAACAATTTTAAAGGTGAATCTGATCTACTGGTGGCTCTTATGATAAAGTCCTTACATTGTTTAACCGCCCTTTCAAGTTTATCCATCATTTGAGTAGCTTTTCCGGTTACCTGTTTAAAGACCGTTAACCATTTATCTTCCTTACATTCCTCTCTTAAAGATTCCATTTCCTGTTTTAACGCGTCCCACTTATTTGTTAAAATGTTATTCTTTCTCGATAAAACTCCATTAGGATCTGATGGGGCATTCGGGGCTGATAAACGAGACCTTAAATATTCTATACGTGCTGATAATGGTTCTAAACGAGAATCAAGCTTCATTAATGCAACGTCAGCACGTGAATTAATCTCATTAAGGGAGTTGTTGTTGAAGTTTGAAGGTGTAGCAGGTGTGATAGGCCTACTTCGTGTGGTTGGACTGGAACTAAGCCTTGGAAAAGAAAATATTTCACCGTCATTACCGGTTGAACCGCTATGACGTTGTTCTTGATATTCAAAAATATTGGTGTTTAACTCTTCTATAGAGGCTAAAATTTGATCCATTGTTTCTAATAGTTCACGTCTTTGTTTTGACTCCGACATTTCTTTCTTAACCCTTCCAAAAAAAGCTTTTACCTCAACCCAATCGGTAAGAATTCTATCAAGTATATCCTTGATGTCTTTACGTCTTTCCTCATCAGTTGGTTGCTTCAGATTGTCAAGTACAGTCTGTGACAACTCCTGAAAAAGGTCAACGTTTGGAGCAAATTTATGAATTAAAACGTCCATTTCGCTAACATTTTTCACACTCATTCCTTCTTTGACGTCAAGTTCCAAAGCAAATATAGCAATGTTTGCGTACTCAAGCCAAAGGTCAATTTTTTTAGCAGCGCCATGAAAAGTGTCTATTAGGTTTGATACAGGTAGGTCAGTTGATAGTGCGAGGTAAATGTTTGCATTTGGTACTTCGAGTTGATAAAGTGTTTGTACATGGTGGGCAAAAGATTGCATATCAGTAGTTGAACCGAGCCGCTCAGCGGAAGGTAGAAAGTTTTGTCGAGTTAAAAGTGGTTCTGGCATATGGGACATTGAAGTGTATTCTTTGCCCAAAGAACCCAAATTTTTTTTTTTCGACTTTAATTTCGTCGTTGTACGAAAAAAATTTGAAGTACAAGGGCGTGTACCATATATATTTATATATGTTGAACACATTGATTGAGTTTCTTTTTATATATATGGTATTTTATTATAATCAAATATTTGTCATAAACAAATTTGAATGAGATGGGTACACAATAACCTTTGAATTACCCAATAGAATCGTTGAATATCTGTCCTAACCTATGATTGTTACTTGAATCAATTTTATATTAACCTTATTTTATAAATCAAATATGTCAAAAAATTCCGATATCTTTTTTCAAACAATATACCGATATGCATTCTTCGGGATTAAATGAGGTAATTATATACCAGTAAAGATGAAAAGATGTTTCATGTGACATTTGGCATGTGACTGAAACCTTCCTTTGGTTTAAACCTTTGACCCACAAAAAATTTATATTAGATATTGGATTTTACAATTGGATCGCCGCGATGCATAATTTAATGATATTTCTGGGAATCTTCACGTGGCCAATTCAGATATTATTGATATTATTGATATCAGTTTTAATTGTAATAAATAAATAAAATATATAAATAACTAGTAATAGGTTTTTTTATAAATATATAAATATATATATATATCTATAGATTGTCTACCATAACTCAATCTTATCATCAAAGGACTTGCTCTCCCTTGCTTCCCAATAACCACCTTTATAAACCCATTCACCATTCTCAAATTTAAACCACTGTGGTTCCCAAGTTTTGCTTTGTTGTTCTAAAAATTTACGAAAATCCCGTTGCTTTTGTTCAACACGAAGTTTTTCGGCTTCAGCCCTTTCTAAATTGCCTTCTTCAAATAATCTCTGATCAGGTCTAAACCTTGTGTCTGTTCTCGGTAATACGTTGACTAAGTCTGGCGTTAATTCATTTAATTCAACCGCGAATTGTGAAAATCCATAATATTGCTCATGATCTGGTATTGGAGAATTTGCTTTCCAAATAACTTCTAATTGATTCGGTCCTATCTCATGAAATATTATTTCAGTCCATCTTCCTACTATCTTACCACATTTACCTCCTTTGGCATTGTGTAATACTCCTACAATCTCACTTTTCGGTCCGTTACTCCATAATCCACTTTGAACAAATGTTACTTCACATGCTTCCCCTGTTGTTTGGTTTTTAATCTTCATCACTCCAGTATGTTCCAAATATTTTGTACCGGATATCATGTTACGCATCCATGTTGTAGTCTTGGAAAATGTGTAATGATCGTTATATTTTGGAATGGTAACATGTGTCGTACCTGATGGAATTATTTCCTAAAAATAAAATTTTTTTTTTTTAGAAAAAAAATTTTTGGCATGGATTTATTTATTAATTATACCTCACCATTGATTTACCCCAAAATTTTGTTTTGGCTTTTGATTCTTGCCAAAATTGCCAGTTTTCTGATTCCGCATGACAAGCCATTATAGGTGGATAATGGCTAACTTTTTCAGAAATAAACTTAAACCCCTTATCTGATCGAACATACTCAAAAGTTTCCCCATGAAGGGGATTGAAAGGTTTTCGAAGTGCCCGGTATTGAGTAAATGCATATCCTGAAACCGCAAATGCCGATACATAGATCAACCTGGATATAGAATCATCGATGGTAGCTGCCTTATCTAATAAATGACTATATTCCAACTCTTCCGCCATCCTTTGCAAGGCATTAAGGGGTTCATTAAGAGATATAGGCATAACAATTGTCGATAAATCTTTTCCAACATTCTTCCGAAGAATAGATAAAAGACTGACATCTTCACCACAAACTGGAGATGGTAAACATTTTCTCCTTCGAATTGTAATTGGTTTTTTATCAGCAATTTTGTTATCGTCAACGTCATTCACAATAGGTTTTTCTTCAATAATCTCTTCTGTAGTTGTACCTGCCTCATCCTCCGTTTCCTCTGTTTCCTCTGTTTCTTCATCGATAATCTCATTATCACTATCTGTTGTATCTTTCAATTCAATATCCTCGGCATCAAAAAATAGTTCGGCTGAAACTGTATTAAATGAACAAACTGAGTCTGCTCGATTAATTCTTGCTTCTCTTCTTTCTTCCAAATTAGATACTTCTTGTTGCGTTTGTTCAGGTACATCTGCCAATTTTTCATCAGATAAGGTTTTTCGTAATTCGGCTTGTTCAGCTGCAAGTTTACGATATGCATGATCTAGTTGTTTCCATTTTTCAATTTCGGCTCGTAATAATTCAAATGCTTGCTCCTTATTCGTCTTCAAAGTTGAAAATGTTGTATTTAACCTTTCATAAATTTGTTCCATTGCCATTTGTGTTGGAGTTGTAGGAGCTTGTAATGTTGGTTGATCGAGTGGAGTTGGTCCTATAAAATCATAATAAAATGTCAATGTAAAGTACCGAAGTAATTCACATAAGAATTCTTGCCCTTATTCTTAAAAATTTACCTCGTTGTCGTGTAATGGGAAATTTCTTTAACCGAAATTTTCCCTCAACACCTGGACTACGAGTAATTACTGGAGAAGATGGACTCTCAACGGAAATTTTCAAATGATCCAATAACTCTTTTATAGATCTAAAATTATCATCCATACTATTAAATGCGCCGTATAATTTTCCGAGATCTTCGTCCATTTTATTGTTCATTCTTAAAAAACCTTGTGTATCCCTATGAAGACTATTTCGTTTTTCTAATAAGCTTTGACGTTTGAGATATATGCTTTGTCTTCTTTCAAAATCCATAGATTGTCGAGGTGAGGTCATTTTTGGATATGCTGGATCATTAAGTTGAAGATCTTTAGATATATTCACGTATTTGCGAATAACTATCATCCACCTATCAAAATCATCGTTAGTAAGTGCTTTCAAATGATAAGTAGAAGTTCCAGAATCTAAATTAATTGAGAGAAAATTTGCACTAGAAGATACTGCCGAAAGTGCGATATGTATCGTTCCACGACAAGGTCCGTGAGGATGTACATAATGTGATAAAACGCCATTGTCTATCTGTACCCAACGTTTTGCCCAACCTGTTGAATGAAATTATAATTAATATTAATTTCTTTTTTTTTTATAGATCTGGAATTCATTCAGATGCGTAATTCACCTTGCATCTTTTTCCTCTTTTTTTTCAACATCCATCCGCCAATTTCCGGCTGAGATTCTTTTTGCTGGTCCTCTACCCCTGTTTATAATTATAAAATCATTACTTAACCAATTCATCTAATATAATCACAAATGTTTAAAGTCTTTTTTTTTTTTTTTTTTTATGATTTGATTTATACTTGCCGTCTTTTAATGCTACAAAAAAAGTTAGCGATTTCGAAGTATTACGTGAAAATGAATTATCTGATTTAATAAATAAATGAAAAATGGTTAAATGTAGAAATTTGAATAATAATACAGTGAATAATAATATAAAAGCATAAAATATGTTTTACCGAAACACAAACAATAAGTTCCTTCTTCCTGTACTATATAACTACCTTTAATGGTAGTAGATGCTGAATTATAATGTTCAATTGGTAAGATTTCTTTTAAATCAGGATCTTTAATAATTTGAGCAGACACTGACTTTTTGCGTCCGCGATTAGAAACGGGACTAGTAGGTTGAAGCGAGGAAACAGGGTCATGCAGTGTAGTGTCTAATTCTGCATTGTTTCCTCCCGGTATTTCTTCATTATCGTCGGCATCATTTGTGTCAATAGAGGTTCTACTTCTTACGCTGTGTACACTTGTTCTACTGGCTACAGATTTAGCTGTTGATGGGGTGGGAGGTAAATTTTGCCTTGAAGAAGCGGATCCGCCTTCCAAAGGATTGCGAACTTCTGCATTTGAGGTTGTAGTTGCAGCGACAAAAACATTTCTCGCCGAAACAGCTGGCCCTTTCCTTTGATATAAGCCAAACGAAATGTTTTTCTTCTTTGTGGAAAACCACCATAATATTGTTTGTCCTTTTGGAACGTTAACATAGTGAATGAAAACATCTCTAGGAGCAACTTCAACTTCTTGCATATTTAAAATGAAAGTACTTAAATGAAAGTCTTATTATTTAGTGTGTAAAGAACGAAAGTGAGCTATTTAAATCGGAGTTATGATGCAAACTGAATTTTTTTCCCCCGAGAGAAATAGTCACGTGATCAACAATTGTTTACTGATCGACATTAACACGTGGGAGAAAACGTGTTTTTATGATCCCAAAGCTCGTTACACGACCTGATAGAAATTTGCTTCAAAAATTGATTTAAGAGAGATGATGATCCATCGATCCATCGAATGCTTATTTAGACTATCAAAGAACGCGTCTTTGGAACATTCAATTAAATCAAGTAAATTTTGAAGAGCATTTGGACTGTTCAGGGATCATAATGCTAGATGCGAAAAATGCTTAAATTTGAGACATGAAGTTCACTGATGCGCCCATATGTAAGGGCTAAAAAGCCAGTAAAAAATTATTAAAAATGATCGTAATCGACATTCAATTAATTAGATAGATAATTAATTAACAAAGAAAAAAAAATACGAAATAGATACGCCCTTTAAATCTATCTTTTTACAAAACCGATTTTGATTGGCTCATCCGAACCAAATGGCTATTTTGTGCATAATTTGCATAATTTGCAATTTAAATTCTCGCAATTTTTTTAATCCGTTCCGCAGATTTAAATTTTATAAAGGCATTTTTATTTTTCCTACGATTTTAGTTTTTTTTTTTTTTTATTTTTAATGCATATTTTTCTTTGATGTTGTTTACCACCAACATCCTCGTTGAGCGGTTGAAAAATACAAAAAATAATCAAAAGATTGAAGAAAACACCAAGAAAGATAGGGAAATATTCTTCCCATTAAACTTGAAGCGAAAAATAATTTGTTAAAAAGAAAAGTAGTGCAACACAGCTGATGTGAACAGGTTTCTCATGCAGGACGATTCTACATTAGTTTCTTCTACTAAGGGTCATTGTCCGTAGGTTTACTGTGTATTATTACTACTCGTCAAATTTTTTATATATTTAGTATACAAATAACAAAACGTGATACTAACTATGATCAATCGATTTTTTATAGCAATCACTTTCACATAATAACCTGTGATGATATTGAATTTCACCATGTAATTTACTCAATTTCAATCGTTCTTGGAGTTATATTGGCTATTACCGCGGGCGGACTGTGGTTAAAAAGACGAATTTATATCGAATCATCACAGAGAGTCGCGTTTCTCGACGGGTATTTATTATGGCAAACATTGCATGCATCAAGTGAGTTATCTATGTTAATAATTTGATTATACGATGGCCAACATTTTGTATTATTATTAATAATACTATTTAATTCCCCTTTAAGTTCGAATCATCAGTGACATAATAATACTTAGCAATCTCATCGGGGAGGAATTTATGGTTTTAGAGCTCGTCTATGACATACCATTTTACTGCGATCAAGTTTCGGTGATATTATTTATTCTCGGAATGTAATTATTATTTTAACGACTTTTCTTTTATATTTCAACTTTAAAAGAAATTATAAATATAATTAATTATTTATATACTTTTTTTTCGTGGGAATAAAGTTTACTCGCCATTCCTTACGCACGAACAACTCCTAACTCTCAAGGGTCATTGCGGAATATCATACCATCTCATAAAAGCATAATATGGTTCTTTCGTATATTCTCTTTCATAATTTTTCCATCACTTGCCATCCTTGCTTTGCTCACAGGATATTTTCATTCAATGCGGAATGCAAAACCTGACGAGAGTGTACGTTTTAAAGATCTCGAAACACTTATGATTCGTGCACATTACATAGTCTATGCTATCAGTTGCGTTTTGTTAGCGATTTGTTTTGCATACTTTGGTAGAAAAGTGAAAGGTTTCGCAGAAGGTAGCATTGGATTATTAATGAGTAGTGAGTTGGATTCAAGATATCATCGCCTTAGATTAATGAGAAGGTCCATCACAAGGGTATTTATTTTTGATTTACATGGTTTAATCTTTATTTAAAGTCATGCTAATTAATATTTGATTCGGTGTGGATGATCAGATGAATATTGTAAATGGTTTTTTATGCGCAAAGTATTTGCTATTTGCTATCGCCGCAACGACCGCTGCATTTCAACTTGTGGTAATATTTTCCAATACATGGATTGTTCAAATTGGTACTATTTTGGTCACGACATTCCCTCTTGTTTCAATGATTTTATGTACATTGTTAATTCTATATGGGTAACTTTTATTTATTTATTTTTTTTTTTTTGATTTGATTATGAAACGAAATTTTCGTCTTTTTTTTTTTTTTTTTTATATTAATACTCATTTTAATGTAGAGATACAAATCCCGAAAAGGCGTTTGATACGGATTTTTTACAGATGTCGCATTCGCATAATTTTTTAACATGGAGTTATACAGTAGAATCGTCTAATCAACAGTCTGAATTGAACCTTTTACCACCTCCACCCTCATACAAAGATGATGTTACAAATCAACAATATGTTAAAGAAATTGAACGAAAACAACCACCCAACATAAACTGTTGTACTGATGCTTCAAATTCCAAAAACATTCGTACATCATACATTCGAAATTCATCTACAACATTACCAAACATCATAATATCCTCACCGCCAGAAATATCAATTGCAGAAAAAAGACCTAGTCGTGTTGTTGGAAAATCCAAGTTTATAGCTGCTTGGATATTGGATCAGCACGAAAGAACTTCCACAAATGAAATGTCATCATCAACAGAAGACAACAACAAAGGATGTATTCGATATTGATCCTTGTTATTTATTTAACTTTAAATGATACAGTTCTTACTTATATAAACGCATCATAAAAAACTTTCTCTAATATCATAATTATGATATCTACCCAACTTTCATTTGTATTTTTAATCATATGTAAATTTAATACTTAATGTAACTTGTTTATTTTTTTAAGCGTGGTTTGGGAATTGAAGGTAGTTGTACATTCTATTATCCAAAATATAACTCGCACAGCTTAAAGCTGTACTAATGTAGAGTATACCTTTATAATAAAAAATCAAAAAAAATCAAAATGGCAATACATTTTTCATCGACGAACGGGACGCGTCAACATGTATAAAGAGGTTTTTTTTTTTTTTTTTTCAATTTCTAAATTTTATTACAAATTACATGTAATTAATAATTAATAAATGATTAGGTGTTTTATTGGGCAATATACAGTATAAGAGTTTTATAAAAAAAAAAAAAAATGTTTAAGTGGGTGATAAAGATGAACAAGAATTAGTGAGGGCAAGTTTGCTGTATTTTAATTATTAAACACGAAAAAATAAAAGCTTTGACAAATTTGTTATACATGAAGCTGTTGTTAAATTTTGGAATATGAATTAACTTAACGTATTTTAAACTATAAACATTGTTGCAAGGTAACAAAAAAAGACCTCTCGAAAAGAATGTTAAGTGTGGTACATGATTTATTTATAAGTTTTTCATTGAAAATATCTCTTGAGTGTAATATTAAGCATTAATATTTAGTAATGATATATTATTATGTTATATTTCTATATATTTCTACCGCAATAAAAAGTAAATTAATCAATCTTCCGTAATAAATAAATATATAATACAAAAAAGTTAATCGATTAACATAAATGTCTGGTTGATGAACGTTAAAAGACTGGCGAATTCATGATAAATAAATTTTCCTCCTCTTTTTTGATCCATTTCAATAATACGAGGGAAGAATTTGTCAATGCTGTTTTGGATATTAATGGACCAAACGCAGCGTATAATTCAAATGTTGCTGTTATCTTTGATTAATAAAAAAGATAATTATGTTATAAGTTAAGATGACTAGTTATAAAAGAAAAGAAATAATAAAAAAATAATAACAAAACATACCCATCCTAATATAGTTTCTGACGGACTCACATAATAATGTACTTTGAGTGGCCGAACACGTGAGTGCATACGATCATGTGTATATCTATATAATTTAAACAACCTAAAATAATAATAATAAAAAATTATTTCGGGAATCTCTCTTTAAATAAATGTAATTGCATAAATTTCATACCTTCGTTTTTCACGAGGATTATTATATGATGCCAAAAATGCAGGTGACGTGTATTGTAAACACGTCTTTGATTTGTATATAAAATGTCGTAAACCTGCCACGCCAATATCGGCTATTCATAGCAATAAGCAAGGTATATTAAAAATTAATAAATATACGATTTGCCAATAATTAATTAATTTGAATCGGGATTATTTGAATCAAAAAAAAAAAAAACACACACACACCTATAGAATAACCCTCACTTTTTGAGGCTGCTTCTATCCCTTGTAAAGCATCGCAAGCGGTGAGTTGCTAAAAACAAAACAGATCAATACATATAAATGATCAACTATATGGAATCCTTAAAGAATGCGAGAGTGAATTTACCTCAACTATTGTATTTTTGGCATCAGATAATTCAAAAAATTTATCCTTGTCTGGAGATATCAAAAGAAGACATACGTTTGCGGTAATATAGCACACGTAGGCGTGGAGGAATCCTTTATTGTTAAACTTTGGAAGACATATTGGAGTCCATGATTCAACCGAACGAAAAGTTGAAGAACCATTTACCATGTTAAAAACCAAGTGAAGATCTTAAAAGAAAGATTGAATTGTCAATAAAACATATTAGACGATAAAAGCATTTAGGAATATCGATCATACCTGCTGAATGAAGACTGTGTTTTTTAAGTCTCAGCAAGGTTATTAGCTTATAATTTGTTATTAACATGGCATATAAAAGGTCCTATAACAGATAGGGAGTTAAATAATTAACAATATTATTAATAAAAATCAATAAAAATATTAATATTATAAATACCTTCGACTTTACTATTTGCAAAATATTTCCAACTTTATCTCGTAGTTCTTTGCTCATTCTAACGCATTGAATCGAACCTAACATGAACCCCGGTTCATCGCTCATGGAATTTGCAAGCTTATCCAAGAAAGGCTCAGTACCTATAAAAAGTAAAGGCAAATTTATTTAAAAAAAATTAAAATATTGTAACCATAAAAGAAACAATAAATCAAACATAATTGATGATTAACCTCCAAGCAGAATACGCAAATCAAAATTCATCCTTTGCTCATAAATTTTTGTTAATTGAGTGGACGTCAAAACACTCAAAATTTGATTATATAGATAATTTAACTGTTCTCTAAGCTGTAAAAAATGTAAAAAAAAAAAAAAAAAATTGTGTAAAAAATTAATTCTCTGATATGTACAATGAACTATTGGTACATACTTGAGACTCTGATTCATTTGTCCGGGAAACGGCTACAAGATACAATGGCCCCTTTAGTAAAAATACAAATTTATGATTTCCCGCATTTATACATCTATCAATATTATAATAAATATAGTTAGGAATTAAGAGTTGATATATTTATTCCACATAAAAAAAAAATTTATTGATTCCTATATAACCTTAGAGAATCTTCGGCATCAACAAAAAATGAAATAATGGCTTGAATCACACCCATATAACTTGAAATACGTGATTCATCTCCATACCTATTAATTCAGAAAAATATAAATTATTAAATAATTCGAGATAATATTCGAGTAAGTTTATTATTTACCGCGTATAGATCGGCTTGCCAGAACTACTAAGTATAAAGAAGTGTTTTCGATGTCGAGACCAAGTAACAGATTGTGGATCTAAAATTTAAGTGGTAATATTTTAGCTTGAATGTTTGTAAAAAAAAAAAATTTTGGTTTTGAATATTTATCCTTTTTTTATTTATTTATTTTTCTAAAAAAAAAAGGGACAAAAAAATACAATACAATAAATTAAGATAAAAACACCTTCAACCTTCATGTCCATACTTGCGACGATATCCCGAATATTCTTCGTCTATTGGAATAGCTGGCATATCAAGATGACCGTTACTCATTTTACATTCTATAGAGCTATCTGAATCTTTGAATCAAAAAAACAATCTTAAAAATGTCGGCAAAAAATGGGTAATGATAATAAAAAAAAAAATTTCAAAAAAAGGATACATACCTATACTTTCATTTCTCGCATCAAAATCCAAACTCATATCACTTTCCGGTTCACTAGAAAAATTCCGCTTTTTATTATTTTTATTATCAATGAAACCCTTACAAAACGTTAAATACTCATTATCAGTTGAAGAAGCCGAGTTGGATCTATTCATGATTTTGGTAAGATAGTCGTCTACAGAACTTTCCTTTGAACGGTTCTCTCCGTTAATACTACTATCTAGTAAATTTGAAATTGCATTGAAACTTTTTACCGACGACCCAGCAGAAGAAGAACTGTATGCTTTTGTAGAAGGAACACTTAATGAGAGTTGTGTAGTGGGTTTTGTCTTATATACGCTAAATTTACGTTGAGGTTGTAATGTAGGTGAAAGTGGTTCATCTGAAGTGATAACACTATTAGAATCGGAAAGAACATCTTCCATGATGGGTGACATTGGTGACAAAAGTGGACTTTTTGGTAATGAAAACGACATGGTGAAAATTTAACGAAAAAACATACAGTAGACGAGAGATTTTATATAGCTCATACAAATCGGATCATCGGATTTAAATGCCAAATCCAGATATCTAGTGAAACGTCGTGACACGATCTTAAAAAATACTTTTGGGAACAGGGTTTGGTAATTCCATTTTCTGTATCATAACCATGCACAATTAATTTAGGTCGAATCATATGATTGAAAATCCCGTTAATTAGTATTGCAAAGATCAAAAGATCACCAATAAAATTTCTTGAATTTTATATATCTACGATTTAAATTTCACATGAGTTCACAAGATTTTTTTTTTTGTGATGTTAACGACGACGAGATTTTATCAATTATATTGAGCTAAATAGATTTCGACACAATTTGCATACAAAGGATAAAAAAGAAAGATAGCATTATATATAATATAGATAATTTAAAATTATGTTCTATGAAAAAATTATACGATTGTATTTCTATATATGTTATTATTTTAATCTCCATGATATATTTGTAATCTCCGTTCTTCATATGAATTAGATAGTCATGCGACACCATGAAGCTGTGGCTAAGATATGGAGAAATCAAATTTACTTTTACATGCAAAATATGTTTTTCTGATTAGATTTAGCATTAACTCATTTTCATTTTCCTGGCAGCTTTGTATGCTGTTCATATCCAAAGGTTGCCTTGTCGGTAGATAAAGAGATAGTTAAGGTCAGTAGTGGGTACGTCGGATCCCACTTGCCAAGTTTCGGGTTGGTTGGCTAATGAAAAAAAAAGTTAATAAAATGAATGCTGTACTTTTTTTTTTTTCGACACAAAAATTTTGAATGAGAAAATTAAATTTTCGATTACATAAATTTATACAAACTGACCTAAATATCACAAAAAACTAGTTTACAAAACAAAATTCGAAAAAAGCAATCTCTTTGGAGATTATCGGAATACATTTTCCCGATTTATCATTTGATTTAAAGTTTTATTTGATCATCTCTGATATCTAATACAAATATTTCAATTCTTGGCGTTTATGTACTCTAATCTACCATGAAGACAAATACAGGAGATAATCAATGCCTTTAGAAAATTAATCGATTCTCTCTTGTGAGTCAGAGAATTTTTACTTATAGTGCTAACAGAAATTTTTAATTCGATATTTCTCACGTATCGATCGATACAATTCATTCATCTTCATAATAAACGAATTGTCACTAAAAATGAAGAAAGGAGTAAGGTTGACTTGGAAAAATGGGAGTACATATTCGTGATGCAAATATTAAATTATAATTTCTTTTTTTTGTTCTTCTGACAAAATATCATATGATTGGTTAAAAAACGTAGCACAGTAAAATAAAATGGATAGTTTACGAAAATTATTAAAGAAATCAATTTATTTTGTAAAATCTTCATTTCAAGAATTTTATTTTTACATTATATGGATCTAATCTGCGTAATCCATAATTATTTCTCATAAATTATTTTGGTTTCTTAAAAAATGATTTTCATTCATTAGAGAGATTCATTCATTCGAATTATCTCTTCTAGATTTTGCTTTAAGCTACTTATTCTTTCATCTCCCAGCTAAAATGGGGGTATAACGTTAAGGATTACGAATATTAAAGGACGAAATTATAAAAATTTATATTATCATATGCAACATATAAATTGTCATTAAAATTTATATGTAGGACCTCCGTTATATTAAGCAAGTAAATCATTTTAGTAATAATTTTTTGATCAACTATATATCCGAAAAATTTTTTTTTCATTATCACATCTCAGCAATAAAAACAAAATGCTCACTATTTGAAATCCTTTTCTATTATCTTTTCTTTGCTTATTACGTGAAAATTTTTTGGATTTTAAGATTATCATTTCGGTGTAATCGCATATAGTCTTGTGACAGTCCTATTATAAAAAAAAAAAACAAAACAAAATATTTTAGTATTTTACTAAGTAAAAGAAAGAGGAGGAACACGATCACTCGAATTCAAATTTCTATAAAAGTTTTGCTAGGCATCTAATAGGATTGCAACCTATCGCCAAGAAGCCTATATGAAACTTCACCGAATGACGCGCCTATTATGCAAGCTCGATCCTACCTCTTCAATCAATGTTGAGTTTTTTTTCCTTTCAGACTATCGTTTTAAATAAATTCATATCGTTATTATAAAAAAATTAAAAAATTTAGTATTTTTACTAAGTAAAGGAAAGAGGAGAAACACAATCAAATTATTTTTTTTTATTAAAATGTCTAATTTCATTACCTCCTTCTAAAAGTTTTTTTTAAAATCTTTTTTTTTTGGTTTTTTTGGTTTTTACAGCACGTTTTTTAAAATACATTTAATTCTAAATAAAGTTATCAGAAAAATTCTTTGTTAGCATAATCAAAACATTTTCAGAATCGTTCGTTTCTGTGTTTAATAAAAAATGAAAATGTGAGTAATTTCTGCAGTTAACTATTCCCTAAGAAAGATCAGCCAGAACCAATAGACCACTTTAAAATGCTCTGGATTTTTTAGAATATTACACAGTGTGTTTTTGCCAAAGTACATCGGCAATAGAAAATAGACTTTTCTCGCATCTACCTTGAATTTTAAACCTTGATGCAAAAAGTCTTCATATTCGTTTTCATTTTCGTTGTCAATTTCGTTGTCGTCGTAGCGAACTAATTTATGTTAATACCTAAAAATAAAGAGAATAAGTGGGCCAACACGTGAGTAATTACTCAAAAATCCGCATTCCACGTCTGCACAACAGAACTATTCCTTGGACCCTTTCATCACTCACAATATACAAAGTATCATTAAAACTTAATTATTTGATATCAAATAACATTGAGCGCAATAAGTACCTTTTCCAATAATATATAATCTTGACGTAAAAGAGCACTTCATTTTTGAAAAGAAGTTGTTATCGATTTTTAAAAATGAAATTTTTTTTTAATACGAGAAGTTATCTTCCTTGAAAAAAAGGTTTTAAAAAAGGTAAAGAATAATTTTTCAAAAAAATAATTTCTGCAAAAAAACTTTTTTTTAAAATGGATGAAAAAATAAAATTTTGAAAAAGGGTTTGAATGAGATTGTCATTTTTTTTTTTGTAGAAAAAGAATAATTAAAGGGTTTTGCTAACGCATAATTTTAATTTATAAGGAAAGAAGTAAGGAATTGTAGAAGATATAAAAAAGGTAGAAGATGTAAGGGAAGTAGAAGATATAAATGATGTAAGGGAAATAGGAAGATGTAGAGGAAGATGTAAGGGAAGTAAAAGATATAGAAGATGTAGGGAAATAGGAAGATGTAGAGGAAGATGTAGAAAAGTTGCTCGAAAATCTGTTCCTTATATAACGAAAATGATAATATAAATAAAATTATTTTAAAGTAGGATCTTGTGAAATAAGTTTCAATATTTCTTTTTCTTAAAGTTTCTACAAATTCTAATTGATTTTTTCAGTTTACATTACTAGTAATATAATATATCAACTGTTTCTTAATTTTAAAGTAAATTAATAATCAGCCGTAGCCAAAATTAGGAGTTTTTTCAATGGGTAAATTTGTATCATGACTTCAATTACCAAATCTTTTTAGAAACAGATGAAAAAATATTTTTTTTAAGTAGCGAAACACGCATTTTTATAAGGCAGAACATTTTCTCTCTTTTTTTAATGTATTATTAAAATAAATTCCATTATAAATATAATCAGTAAGTAACTTGTATAATTTCTTGGTAAGTATTAATTCTTTTTTTTTTATTGACAACATAAGGTAAAGCTTATGTAGGCTAGAAGAATATGCTATACATATTACTTAGCAAGTTTAAGAAAGTTGTGCCGTCAAACAACACGCGTCAATGCATTTTACTAAAATACCTGTTTAATCTGGAGTTAGATTTATGTGAATAAATATATATTATTTACATTCTATATCTTTGGATTATATGTTTCTGTTTGTCCATTTGTGAATTTTTTTTCGTTATACTTAACAACGGTCCCCATTTCCTAATAAAAAAAAAGGAAAATTAAAGTACAAAAGTTTCATGTTTCACTGCCATAAAAATATATATTCCCATCAGTATCTAATGAGATTTAGTAATCAACGTTATCTGAAAATCTTATTTTCTAATTCTTTTTTTTTTGTTGACAACATATGGTAAAGCTAGAAGAACGTGCTGTGCATATTACTTTAATTTTTCAAGAAAGTTGTGCTGTCAAACAATATGCGCCAATTACATCACACATGAAATTTCATGAAAAAAACCTGTTTAATCTGGAGTTAGATTTATGTGAATAAAATATGTATTATTTTTGTCCGCCCGTGTGAATTTTTTTTAGTTAAATTCATTTCACTTAACAATGGTCTCCCGTTCTCTAATAAAAAAAAAAGGAAAATGATTTTGCCCATAATATTAAAGTTCAAAAATTTCATGTTTCACTGCTATAAAAATATATTTCCGTCAATATCTAATGAGATTTAGTAATCAACGTTATCTGATTTTCTAAATAACCAAGTTTTTATCAATAAAAAAAATTTTGATGGATGTAAGCTTCAATCTTTTAAAAAATTTGATCGACTTTTATCTTTTTATCTTTTTACACTACTTTATAATAAAAAACTACACCTTTAGTTTTTTAGAAAATAAAGTAAAACTTAATATTATTTAATAATCTATAATTTAAAATTTTTTTTACTTAAGATCATTTCACTTAACAACGGTCTCCCGTTCCCTAATAAAAAAAAGGAAAATTATTTTGCCATAATATTAAAGAACAAAAAATTTTATGTTTCACTGCCATAAAAATATATTTCTGACGGTATCTAATGAGATTTAGTAATCAATATTATTTGAAAATCTTATTTTAAAAAAATTTTGATGGAAAAAAAATGATGTAAGCTTCAATATTTTAGTCTCAAGTTTTCAACTAAAAAAAAATTTGATCTGACATTTGGCATTACTTATCGGGATTTTACACTACTTTTTATTTTTTTTTTAATATAGTTATGTTG